TCCAAATGTTTGTTTCAAACATTTGGACCTCAGATCGCAGATCTGCGCATGATTTGAGGATACCAATTTCTCAGAAACAGTTCGCTATGATATCACCTGCGTATACGTTGCGAACGATGAATGATTCAAGAATAGTCGCCCTGGAGACCTATTCTTGAATCACTTGTAGTTCTGCATACATGTAGTTTTGGCCATCATTCGTACGAACAATTCCATAAATCCTATATGCTTAAACGCAGACCTATTCTTGAATCTGACGCAGTTCTGCGTATACGTAGTTGTGCAAAATCGTTTGTGCGAACTACTCCTCAAATCCTACACTCTTGCGTTTATGCCAGGACTCCAATCAATCGCAGAGATCCAAATGTTTGCTTCAAATCTCTTATTTTGCGAGTAAAAATCAGATCGCAGATCTGCGCATGTTTCAAGAATACCAATTTCTCCGAAATAGTTCGCTATGAAGTCACATGCGTATATGTTGCGAAAGACGAATGATTCAAGAATAGCCGCTCTGGAGACCTATTCTTGGATCACTTGCAGTTCTGCATACATGTAGTTTTGGCAACCGTTCGTACGAACAATTCTATATGTTTAAACGCAGACCTATTCTTGAATCTGACGTAGTTCTGCGAAATCGTTTGTGTGAACTACTCTTTAAATCCTACACTCTTGAGTTTATGCCAGGACTCCAATCAATCGCAGAGATCCAAATGTTTACTTCAAACCTCTTATTTTGCGAATAACAATCACATTGCAGATCTGCGCATGTTTCAAGAATACCAATTTCTCAAGCATAGTTCGCTATGACGTTACCTGCGTATGTGTTGCGAACGACGAATGATTCAAGAATAGCCGCCCTGGAGACCTATTCTTGGGATCACTTGCAGTTCTGCATACATGTAGTTCTGGCAATCTTTCGTACGAATAATTCCATAAATCATATATACTTGAGATCATACTAGGATTAAACGCACTTATTCTTGAATCTCACGCAGTTCTGCGTGAACGTAGTTTTGCGAAATCATTTGTGGGAACTATTCCTTAAATCCTACATTCTTGACTTCATGCTAGGATTTTGATCGATCGCAGATATCCAAATATTTGCTTCAAACCCCTTATTTCGCGAGTACCAATCAAATCGCAGATCTGCGAATGTTTCAAGAATACCAATTTCTTAGGAACCGTTCCCTCTGAGTCACCTACGCATGCGTTACGAAGCGACAAAGTGATTCAAGAGTAGGTCTTCTGGGCGACCGGTGTATCCAACTCATATCCAGCTGTCATGGCGACAGGTCATGTACAGTCAATTTCTTATTAAAATAGTTACATCTCCCAACAAAGCTGACAATTCTGATTCTATAAATGGACAGTTATTATGTATATTCAACCTCTTACGTAGAAAATATGGTTCTACTAAGTAACCACTGCATATCAGGACGTATGACATATGAAGTAAGTATCTGATATTACGTTCTATGCCTAAATAAAAAACCGTTTCGAATAAAAAACAAAAACATAGTTAATCTAAAAAGAATTGACATCTTTAGCTTTCTAAACACAGCAACGTGAGTCGTAGGAAAATATTGTAAAACAAACTTTTTTCCATCCATTTTGTACTTCAAAATGATATTTTTATACTAGTGACTGAATTGTTTACAACTTCCAAGGAAGATTCATCAAATTTTTGTAGATATAAATCCAAGAGACATGTGTCTAACACTTTGGTAATCGGTTGTATTAATACTATGAAATTAACTGACATGGTGTTTATGCATTTTCAATAAAACGTCTACCGCCATATCATATCCAATTCATCTTGGCAGATCAATGCCAATACAAAATAGAAAATGATCTCAAATCATCTGAGGATTTATTTCAACTTTCTGGTTGCTAAGCATCATATGTTATTGTTTTCGTAATCACTTAATGTTAGTTACAATCAGTAAACACATAAACTATCAGGCACATAATTATCAGAAGAAGAGTAAATTCCTGTCACAAAATTTCTTTTGGATAAATTTGGTTGTGGAAAAAATCATCTGAATCCAAGAATGCCCTTTGGGTTCAACAATATCCCAGCAGCTCTACAAATAATCTAATGTTTCACAGATATCATTTCACAGATATCAACATCTCACTGATGAAATTTCATGTGTAACTTATTTGAGTACATATTTTTACATTTTAAAGTGAAACTCCTGATATATTGGAGGGGAGAAATGCATGAACTCGGCTTTTTTCAAGAGTTACATATTTATGTAAGCTTTCGAATCACCAAGTAAAACTGATTAACGATTAAGCAAGAATTGTTCTTTTTGCCCATTTTAGTGGGGAGCATTCGTTTTGTGATAATTGTAACAGTGTGGTTATTCATAACAATATTTGAATAAGTTTAAACATTTCTAACAATTGACCAGAATTACATTGAATTTGAAGAAATACATGGCGGGAAACTTACATCAATCATCTAATATGGGAGGTCCATTACTATTTATATGTGATTCTTTTATATATCCTTACTAATCGAAGACATTGGGAAAATATATTATTTCTTAATGATTGAAATTATTAACCTGATTGAAGAAGGAATGAAAAATTTTTGTTTCAAAAGTGGAATTTCGTCTCAGAATTGTTTGAGGTTAAATATACCTGAGTATTCATTGCCAACAAAATTATTTCCCGAATCAAACAACCTTCAAACATTTAAAAATATCGATTTTGATCAACGTTCAAGATGAGAGAAAAACTGATATCGGTTGACATTCCATGATTTAAAACACACCTTTATTTTGTCTCAAGGTGTGAGTAGCATTAAACACGTGCCCGTCACATTGAAACCGTTGCCAAATGATATATTCGATTGAATTTTGAGTTGATATGCATTTCACATCAAAGCAATGTTGGAAAACACTTCATTTTCCTTCAAGCGTCACAAACTCGTAAATTAGCATTTTGGTAATAGTATTTCCACTAAAGTTCTATCTATCTTCCCTTCTACAAATAGATATTTACATGAAAAAAAGACATGATGGAATGTTACTTCTAATAGTGTAGAAATGTACGATTACAAAAAAAATTGTTAATTTTTTTTCCTTTTTCTGTGATGAAGTTTTCTAGTTTATAATTGTTATAAATGAGCTTCTCCATTTTGTCGTCTTTTTCTTTGTAGCTTCGCCTTTATTGTATACAATAATGGTGATGATAATACAACAAAATCGCAATGGGGAATGTTCCTCAATTTGGGTTATTACAGCAAATGCAAGTTTGAACAAAATTAAGTTGAGTTTAATTAATTAGTTTTTCAGATTCATTTCGAAAAGTATTCAAATTGATGTTTCAAATGTTGGGTTTTAATTTTTAAAGGGATTTGTTTCTAATTCACATATTGGCAACAGCGTCTATATCAAGTTGATATAATTTATACGTACCTAGATATTCTACTTTAAAAAAGAAGAATTATCTTTATAAATCAACAATTGAGGCAAAATATAAATTATAGTTCAATACCACCTCCACAAGCCAAAACAACAGTTGTTTTGTTATTTATTTATATAGAGGAAGATAGGTTACGTGCACAAAATGTCATAGTCACAGAATGTCTGGGAACTCGGAAAATAAGTAAACAGAACAGCACGCCTCTGAAATATGTCATCTTTGTTTGTCTCATACAGGTAACAGATTCATTGTTCTTTATTAGCTATAACCGATGTTGCCAAATGGTGAAATAGAAACGAATCCCTTTAAATGTTGAATGCATTATTTCATTCCTCTTTTTTAAGTATTTGAATAATTTTTTAAAGAAAAAGGTTAAAATAAGTTTAAAATGCGTTGTTTCAGAGCTCTTTTATGAAAACTACTCGATTTTCGTCAGGAGGAACATTCCCCATTGATCACAACTATGATTGCTCAGCAATTGAATCACAACCCGTGCACAGAAAAAACCTCCCATATCGTAAATCCAGCCGTCACCACAGAAATATCGAATTATCGTAATTGACCGTATGTTGGCGAGAGCTTCAAAGTTGAATCAATTCATTGGCCAGAGGTCGCCAAAATCCGGGCACTACAATATATCAGCGAAACCTCTCTTTTACCAATGAATTTCCCGAAAGACCGTTTTGAAAATAGATAATTACCCGAGTGAGTTTATATATTTCTTGTGTTCTAATAATTAGCTAGCTCGAGCTTGCACAATTCTGTTTTCGTTTAATTTTAGCTGAGCTGACCCGCTATTACTGAACTTGAACGCAAATTCTGTGCCGTCTTAAATGATCGTGATTGTGAAATAAAAATGCGCGTAATTCATGATGAGAAGCATTCTCAAAGACCTTTCCCCGAATTTTTATTCAGTACTTTGATGAGCTGTCACAAATGATGGGAAGCGTTGTTAAAAACTATTACACTATTCTCATCCAAATTTGGGATCAATGTGTTTTTAAACCATTCCTCAAAAATATTAGCTTCCATGTTCTTATGATAGTCATTATTGCAGTCCTCAAGTTTTTTTCCACATAATTTCAAAGAATTCAGAACCCATCCTTCACTTCCTCCGTAATGCACAATGATTATTCGTGATCCTTCGTTTGCAGGCATGTTAGGCGTACACATTCTCGAACCATCAGTCCACCCTTTCGTAACTATGTTGTAAGAGTCATATACCAAGTTCCTCCAAATAGAAAATTTGCCGTTGTCCTTGTCTATATTTAGTTATTTGTTCTAAGTATTTGTTACGCAATTCCATTATTCTTCTGTTTTCCATACCTGCCTGACGTTTCTTTATTATTTTGAATCTAAATCCTAGCTTCTTTATCCAATTCTGAAGAGTTTTGTACAGCAGCTCACGTTATGGCCGGAAGTATTCAATTTCTTCCTTATGATTTCAGTTGTAGGAATCACCAGTTACTTAGACTCTACCACACAGGGTATTTTAGCTTTATCCTCCTCGAGTTTTTATAGAATTCAGTTTATGGTGCTTTCCATAGCGCAAAAAAACATGTACATTAAATAACAAATAGTTTATTTCTTATATTTATTTATAAAATATCTTGGTGAAAACAGTAAGTGAGAAAAGATATAAAAAATAACAAGTCAGTCCAATACTAATTATATTAGGCACAATCTCATCACCTATACTTGGTTATTAATGTATCCGCTACCAATACTAGAAGAAAACTAGTTGCCACAACGCCGGTACTGAAAAAAAAAAAATATATGAAATCTCTCAAAAAGCATCAGCTACACGATTTGTTAAAAACATATTGAATAAAATAATTGAAATGATAGAAGGAAATATGGCACATTTGACTTTCGAAGTTCTATTTTAGAACTACTGACAGTACTCTACAATCAGAGCTATTCAGAATATAACATTGCGAATACAAGTAGGCAAGTGCGGCCCTGACAATAGTAGGTATCTGGAATGTACTGAAATTGCCCGCGAAATTTCAAATTATCAGCTTCAAAGCACGGATACTTTTCATATGAAAATTTGTTATTGGATACTTACAATTTGCAAACGTTGGCTCCGGCTGAATGCTCCCACCAGCTGTACTCCGTTATTGTAAATTCTTCGTCGCCTAGAAATTCTTCGTGAATTTTTCTGGCGCTGTAAAATTCAAGAAGATAAACGATCGACTGCGAAACTAAAACACAGACACTAGTTCATAAATAGATCGGTAATTAGTTGTATCTGTTGTTGAAACACAATCAAGATATTAAAATAGATCACTCCCATCAATCATGGTGGCTTTTGTTTACATTACATGAAATGGATAATGGACAGACGTGTCGGATTTGAAATTAGCAGGAAAAAATCGAAGTGACAAAAATATGATAATTGCAAATGGACTGTTGGTAGGAAGGTGTTTTTGGGAACTTCGATTTGACTTCAATACACTGTACGTGCATGAATTTACATTACAGCTACTCGCTCGGTCGAAACACACATACACAACACGTAAGATTTTTGAGTTATGATTTTTTTTTACAAAAATTCAATGAAAACGACATTCCAAATTTTCTTTTCCCCTAAACTGAGGAAATTGTTTAAAATCTGGCAACACAGCGGCTCTGCCCAGTATTCGAATCTGCTTTCGCTGTATTTGACTTGTAACGCCGCTTCTCGAACTTCCGATAATAGAAGTTTCCAGAAAATACCAGAAATACGGAGCCGCTATAGAAGGAGCAGGTTGACAATCGAATCATCAATATTGGTTTAACGCGAGTAGTGGTGAGTTAGTATTAGAGAAATAAGTTGAGCAAACACGCAAATATAAGTATTATCTTTGTGAATAAAATAAGTTGACCCCTGTAAACGCAGTATTATACATATTTGAACTCGAAGTATATACGCAACAGTACAAAAATGTCCAAAGTACAGAAACGTAGCTGCGTTAATCCTGCAGATAGTTTTTGCTATTACTCCTAAATCGCAGAAACGGCCAATTACCATAAGTATTTTGGATGTGTTGTTGGTGATCAAGATCCGGATCGGGGCTCCTCACGTATGTTGCCAAGCAGCAAATCTAAGTAACTGGTTAAATGGCAAACGCTCTTCTATGCCTTTTGCAGTTCCAATCATTACAACGACTGTTACTTTTGCATGACAGACGTGTCTGGTTTTTCAAGAAAGACCAAACACAAAATTGTATATCCGGATATTCCCTCTGCAAGAAGGCCGGTTCTTAATGGAGGAGGTTTACCAGTTCCAACACCCCCGGCAAATTTGGAGAAAGTTTTGGAAATGTATGATGACAAGACAGGTCCCCATGATGTGCCAGAAAAAGACGTTCCTCATTTTCCCGACAGTGGAGGAATAGCACCCCATTCAATCGAACAATCATCTGAATTAAATGACCTAGCTCGGGACCTCCACTTATCCTAAGAGAAAGCTGAACTATTAGGGTGTAAATTACAACAATGGAATTTATTATTCCCTAAAACCAAAGTTACAATATTTAGGAACCGTAACCATGAGCTATCCTCGTTTTTTACTATGCAGGATAAAATTTGTGTTTGTGTAAATCCAAATGGTGTAATGGATTTGCACATAACCCGGACGAATGGCGTTTATTTATAGATTCGTCTAAAACAAGTTTAAAAGCCGTTCTGCTTTTAATGGTAACAAAAGACCCTCTATTCCTCTTGCACGTGGCAGTTGCCATGAAGGAAACACACGAAAGTATGTCACTCATTCTAAATGCAATAAATTATAATACCTATTAATGACAAATATGTGGTGACCTAAAAGTCATAGGACTATCACTAGGTCTTCAGGCCGGATTTACGAAGTTTCGCTGTTTTCTTTGCCTTTGGAGCAGTAGGGCACCACAGAGCCATTATCAAGTAAAAGAATGGCCTCCCAGGTCAAGCTAACGTAAAGAATATACCTCTTGTTAATCCCAAAAATGTTTTGTTACCTCCATTACACATTAAACTGGGGTTAATGAAATATTTTGTAAAAGCATTAGACACAGAAGGTGATGACTTTAAATATCTTAAACACGTTTTTCCAAAATTAGGTGATACAAAGCTCAACGAAGGTATATTTGTTGGAGCACAAATTAGATAACTACTAAGTGATGAACAGTTTGATCAAAAATTTAGTAATTTTGAATTAGCTGCGGGGAGTTCTTTCAAAATAATTGTTTTGGAGTTTTTAGGGAACAAGAAAGTAGAAAATTACGAAACACATGTCTCTCACAATCCATTTCTTGCACTCCCATTTGAATTTTTTCCCAGAAAATTTGGGTGCTGTCAGTGACGAAAAAGGAGAAAGGTTCCACCAAGACATACTGACAATGGAGCAACGTTACCAAGGCAGATAGGATGTAGCAATGATGGAGGATTATTGTTGGTTCCTTATGAGGGAACCCGATGAAACCTATAAACGAAAGTCAACATTTGCAAAAAGGTTATGCACAAAAGACTCCATGTTTTTTCATGTGTATTATAAATAAAGTCTGTTGCCCTCATAATATATTGTTTTTTTTTCTTGTTTTGATCTTATATTTCCCTATGTGATTTTTTATAAAATAAAAATTACTATAACTCAAAATCTTTACATGATGGGAAATTTTTGATGTTGGAGTCGCCGTCAGGATGCTTTAAACTCTCATCTATACCATTATAGTATTTGTGGCAATTTTTTTTTACTTGTTGGCTACTATAATTTGAGGCGTCAACGGAATGGAATACTATCACTTTCAGATATTCTTCTGACAGCTCCCATCATTACCCACTGTATTATCTGTTAAAATCTGTGTTTCCGTCAACTAGCGGTCGCCCCCCTATCAACTACAAATCTCAAAAGTCGAAACTTCTGCGAGATAAAGACTAACGAGGTCTTAAAGTGTGATTCCTAACACGTGTTGGAAGATAGCAAGTGAAAATCGATCGCCGACTGGCTTTACCTTATCGCCTTTGATAATGCCTACCGCAGTAGTTGACTAAACACCAGGCAGACCACGGCAAACAAAATCGGAGAATGTTTTTGACACATGAAAAATACATTTAAAAAGACACAGTTGGGATCCGCCCAGAAAAAATCGAACACCTTGTGTGACCGCCAATATTTTTATTTTGTCGAGCTCGAGCAATAAGGTAATATTATAGAAAATTAGATCCCTATCTACTTCCTATATAGAGATATGGAACACCGCGCCACTGTTGCAGGACCCTGTATATGCTGTTTCGGAGAATCTACAAATAGGTGAGTACTCAAAAGAATAGTAAGACCAGTGGCAAGAGGTTGACTATCTCTGCCTACTTCCAACCAAGTTCATTATCATCAGCCTTTTCAGTTTTTTTGCCAACTGGGGCAATAATTGGTTGTGATTCGTGTTATATTATTGGAACACTACGAATATACTGAGTTACGTCACAATCCTTTCTTTACGCTCCAAAAGAATCCGATAATTAATAGACTCCTTAATTATTTCAAGTGTGGGCCTTGGGCCTTGGTTATGCTTGATATTGAACATTGTATGTCGCTTTATATTAGACGGGACAAGTTCGATTCCACCTGTTCTTAATTAATTTTGCGACTACGCGACTAATGCCAATTTTTTTCTAAATTTAACTTGTGTCCGACGCTAGCTTGCAATTTTATTATCTATTTTTGGATTGAAGACTTATTTGAATTTTAGCATATTTTACGGAATTTGCAATACTTGAACCTTCATTTATGTCTGTTTGGGAAGCCATATTTGTCTGCTTACAGTAATAATCTAGGACCCCGTGAAGTAATAAACAACAGACTGGACACATCAGTTGAATATTGGTTTCTATTATACCGATATAACAAGACCCGATTCCATTCCGACGTGCACAATTTCAATTTTAGGTCCAAAGGTCTTTCGTCCACTCCTCCACATTGTACTAATTCCTATCGTTGGTCATTCACTCATAATGATATACAATATACAATACCGCTAAAACAAACGTATGAAAGTTATTCTTATTCACACTACCGTCCAACTCGTTCATTATGGAGTGGTTTGAAACACTGGCCATTGAAGAAGCCCACAAGAAGTCCCGATTCTGGTTGAGATACGTTGGCGACACCTTTATAATATGGAACCATGGGATTACTGAACTAGACGCCTTCCTGAAACACATCAACAGCGTAAGACCACCCATCACTTTGACAATGGAGAATAAAGTCCACAACGAATTGCCATTGGTGAAGAGGACCGACATTAAGTGAGAAACGTCTGTATACCGAAAACCCACTCATACGGGACAGTATCTGAACCACCGTGCTTTCGGAATGTCTCAAGAAGGAACTAGACATCAAAAATGATCTTTAACGGAATGGCTACTCCAAAGCGATGGTGGAACTGACTTTTGCTAAAAGACAGCATAAGCCTCATAAGGAAGAGAAACTGCCACAGCCAGTGCTTGCATTTTCCTACATCAGAGGATTATCGGAAAGGATAAGAAGAATTGGATCCAAGTACAACGTCAGAATCTGCTTCAGATCCGGAAACACTATCCGTAGCAGCCTCACGAAAACCAGGCCACCAAACGAGAAACGAGAATTACATTTACCGGATACCCTGTGACTGCGGAAAATCCTATATCGGTGAAACTAAGAGGCTTTTGAAAGTTCGCATTGCCGAGCACAAGAAACACACACAGCGAGAGGAAACCAGCAAATCATGAATAACAGAGATTGTCTGGACCCATCAACATAACATGGAGTGGTCCCAAGCTGAGATCATACACAGGAAGAAACACTGGTTTAGAAGGAAATTCAAAGAAGCCGCATACATGTGGTCCTAGAATGTATTCATCCAAGCTAGCGTAGAGATACGCAACATAATCAAGCGAAAAATGGCAAACTCCCGCCAAATAGTCACCTCCCGCTAAACACATAAATAGTCATCTCTCGGAGGAATTTATGTATTATGTAATTATGTATTGTTTTATAATTTTATACCTACTACTGAGAAGATAGACAAATTTTGTAATAATGTAGATAATCTAGTGGATCTGGAGTCTGTTTGTATCATCATGACCATTAAATAAATATATATTATTCCAGAACATATTTTTTTCAGTAACAAGGAATATCCAATTTGACATATACATAAACAACAAAAG